GAGTAAGCGCACAGCGGAATATTTCTACAGGATTGTCAAGGAGGAGATAAATAGCTTGAAGAACTGCTACAACTCCAAAGAATTAAAGGATTGGAAAGATGAGGATTTGGCCTGGACGCTCCTAGTGGATGGCTGTGCATTGTTGGTTTTCATGATCGTTGATGGGAACAATAAGTGGGAGGAATTCAGTGTTCATATTGATGTAGTCAGAATTGTGAAAGCTGATTTTTTCTTACTTGAGAACCAACTGCCTTACAAACTTCTTAAGATATTGACAGACTCGTTGGCTGAAGCCTCAGGTGTAGGATTAATAGGAACTTCTCTTAAGGAGTTATCCAAGAAATTCATCACCAATTTCATCAAGAGGAGTTTCTTGGATCCCATTCCGCATCGACAACACCAAATTGAGGTTGATGATTTAGAGTCTCCTCATCCTGATGAGCAACAAGAAGAAGAGAAAGACCCTCCTCATCTTCTAGACTTGTTGCGAAGTATACTGATAGTCAAATCGAAGGAGAAGAGTGAGAAACAGAAATGGAGTAACGAAGAACAGTGGTTGGAGACACCGGATGATCATAAAAGCAAACATCAGCCCTCAATTTGCAGCGTAAAGGAGCTGAAAGGCAAGGGTATTCGTTTTAAAGCGTGGGAAAGGGAAGTGGCCATCAGAGACGCTGTTTTCAATAACTGTTGTTGGGTGCCAACCCTCACGCTGGCTCCAATTTTTTTGCACAATACCACCATGTCATTGTTGCTGAATTTGATGGCGTATGAGCTGTGTCCGGATTACAAAGAAGATTGCGAGATCTCCTCGCACTTGTCATTACTCAACTCCTTGATTGCTGATGGGGAGGATGTGAAGGAACTGAGAGATGCAGGCGTGCTGCACCACCGATTTGGAAGCGATATAGAGGTAGCGGAGCTGTTCAACAAGATCAGCTACGTCCGCATGCCAAATCTTAAGAAGGACTTAAAATTGAGAGATGATATCAATGATTACTGCAAAAAATTACGCTTCAGCGGTGTAAGGGCCAGCGTCGAGGCTGATCTCACTCAAACCTATTTTAAGAGCCCTTGGAGCTTCCTGGTCCTGCTCGCTGCCTTAGCAGGTCTTATCATGACAGGAATGCAAACTTATTATAGCTTCCGAGCATACAAGCCCCACTAGTGAACTTTAATTACTATATGTATTAACAGCGTTCTTAAAGTATGTCTTGGGAGCGATTGGGTTGACCAAAACAATTTTATGTACTTCTTGTTATTATAATTATTATATTTATTGTATTTTTATGGAACAATGACAGCTATTATTATGGTTATTATATTTATTGTTATTATGGTTATTATGGTTATTATGGTTATTATATTTATTGTATTTTTTATGGAACAATGACAACTATTATTTTGTTTAAAGTCAATATATTTTTACCTTCATTATAGATTTATAGTGCCTACGGACTACACCAATAGCTAAAAAGTTCGTCAGTAAAGATTGCATTTGGATACATTTATATTAACAAGAATTAGTCGTTAATATCGTAATGGAGAACTACACAGATGGCTATTTATTACCAATGTCTTAAGACTGTTTTTTATATTGACAGATGTGAACAGCCCGCTCCAGTCAATGACATGGAATTAGGGTTAGAATCGTTCACGTTCTATAGATGATGTGTTTAAATTTTATAGATTTTTTTTTTGTAATTAATATATGTAAATTATTTCAATTTGTTCAAAAAAAATTATATCGACAAATGTGATATATTGATGACAATACATTAGTAGTGAATTATTTTGTTGGTATATATTGTGGTGTTTAATTACACATTATTTGTCAATAAATTTCTTAGGATATATTGACAATTATTTTTGCAATCTATTTGATGGGAGTTATACTTATGCCCTTTCATTAGTACAGATTTCCTTTTTTTTTTTTTTTTTTAAAAATCATAATGCCGCACTATCTGGATCCCTTTAGTGCCCAAATGCACAAACCAAATTTGATAAAATTCACAAATCCACTTAAATTGTTGTTGGAATGCACAAAACCTACTTTCATTACCTAAATAACAAGTACAATCCATCCAACAGAAACAAATTTGATAAAACAAATATATTGTAATTTGATAAGTTCATAAATCTAATTGGCTAGCACTTACACCAAGAATTGCAACAATTCTAACACATTTAACACTTCATTTTTCACATGTCTATCATATATATATATGGATAAAGATGGGTACACCCACCGGTTCAAAACCGGTGGGTGCACATTCTATAAAATAAAGTTTTTTCTGTATTAACCAAGAATAGAATTACAAATTTAACCTTCTTCCTCTTTTCCTTCCATCATCCTCTAATCACCATTTTTACCAATCATCTCCGATCTTCATCATCCTCCACCTTCATCACCGATCATTCTTCTTCATCATCAATCACCCATCTCTAATCTTCATCACCTTCATCACCGATCATTCTTCTT